TTTGTCGCCATATTTATTACAACGTTTCGGGCGTTGTACGCTCCGGCCTTCTTCAGGTGGTTGGGATATCGAACATCATTGTTTATTTCTATTTATTTTTATATTTATTTATATGAGAACCAATAATAAGGAGGGTCAGAGAAAAGCGATAATAGCAACAGAAGTTTCAATATGAACTCTGGTAAAATCATGAATTGATAACAGCAAAAAACTGCAATATTAGCACAGGTAAAAATAGTTGCTGAAGACATTAGGATTATAATACCCAGAAACTCATACACAGATGTTTTCAAGGGCTCATGGTACAGGGGATAAAGGCGTTAGTTAGACCCAGTTATAGGACCCAAAGAGTTCAATACCCGGTTAAATACCCAGAAAATATTCGTCCTCCGACAGTCCTCTATGTCCAAATCGGTTAGAGGCACGTCAAGCTAAATGACGGTTCCGTATAGGATACAGGTTCTTATCCTGTCGGAGGACAAATATTTTCTGTGAGAATTTCTCGGACATTCAGGCCGGTAAATGCTGTTTGACAATGTTTATTATAAATAGAGGATTTACTTAAATATTTGTATCAATAAAAAGAATGTATAAACATAAAAATGTCTGAAAATGATTGTTGGACTTTCTCCATTTTATAATATATATATATCGTTACTCAGGCTTCACGTTTTCGTGATCTTCGGACTAGAATGCTGTATTCGATACCGTTTGACATTTTATATATATATATATATATATATATATATATATATATATATATCAAGGTCGTACTGGTATTAGTTTAAGCAGCTTGAACGTGTATGCCATCCCTGCCTGAGAGTGATACTTGACGTCCGATGTCAAGATGTGGGTGCTCTTGACAGAGAACAATGTTACACTATAGAAGCCTTAGTGCTCAAGCACAGGCATCGGTTGAGCGGTCACCTAGTGCAGATGGATGATTCTAGCCCAACCAAGCAGTCTCTGTATGGTGCACTGGCAGAATGTGAGTGAATTTCACATAAACGGAGGTTTGAATTCAGTGATCTTTGAAGGAGTGCCGAATTCAACCTGACTCATAGTAATCTGATGGAGGAGACCGTATTGCGTGACAAACAATGGCCGAGGAGTTTAAAGCTGCCCTTTGAATCTTCTTGCATTGCCAACAAAATTTTGAAACGGCATGTACGGAAAGGATTCACCACAAAGCCTGACTCTTGAACTAACCTACAATATCTTTTTTCCGTCTCCGTGGAACCGACTCTTAATTGCTAGAGTTCCCAAGGTCTACACTGACCCGTGTTGGTAGCACCTGTTAGGATCCCAGCTATGGGCAAAGAGTTAACCCCCAAACTGAGGTTAAAACGCTATGAAAATATAAATTGCTTTTAATACCAGAAATATTTTGTAAAAATATTACCAGCAATAAATTTTTGAAAACAAAAGATATTACCAGCTATACGTTTCTGAAATAAAATATCTGGTATACTTTTAAAAAAAGGACCAGAAATAAAAGATTTTGTCGGCATTAATTAACACATTGAGGTGATATGCCGTTAACCAAACCAATAAATATATATATATATATATATATATATATATATATATATATATATATATATATCTATATATATATATATATATATATTGAATAAAATTATTGTCACATGTCCGTCATCCCGAACAAAGAGGTACGCTGAACAAAACACCTATGCGTAAGGCAGTTGAAGTACGTAAGTTGGGTGCTTAATTCTAAAAACAGTCTTGAAAATGAAATAGCATATCGCAATGAAAAAGACCGACACATTTAGCAGACTTGAACAGTAAATTTGAAGTCCAAGAGTTCTAAATTAAAAGTATACACTGCTTGCATACTTACATCCCAGCTTTATGCCTATGAGACCAAGGTGCCGTATTGGGATTAGTTTAAGCAGCTTGAACGTGTACACCATCCTTAACTGAGAGGGATACTTGAAGTCCGATGCCAGGATGATCCAAAGAGAACAATGTTACACCATAGAAGACTTAGTGCTCAAGCACAGGCGTCAGTTGAGCGGTCACCTAGTTCAGATGGATCATTCTAACCCAACCAAAGCAGTCTCTGTATGGTGAGCTGGCAGAAGGTGTGTCTCTTTCACATAAGACATAGAAGGACTTCAAGGTTTGAATCAAGACACCTTTGAAGGAGTGCCGTATAAGAGCTGCCTCATAGGAACCTGATGGTCGTGACCATAGTGCGTTACACAGGATGGCCGAGGAGGTTAAAATGGCCTTTTGAATCTCCCAGCATTGCCAAGAAAAAGAGAGGTACGGAAGGGGATCAACACAAAGCCTGACTCTTGAACTAACCTACAATATCTTTTTTCCGTTTCCATCTCATCAGAGCTGATCCGAAGAGTCACCTATGAACACAGATAACAATCGGTGATAGAAAATGAACATAGATAGATGGATAGATAGAGAGATAGAGAGATAGATGGCCGAGGAGGTTAAATCTGCCTTTTGAATCTTCAACCATTTCGATACCGTTTGACGTTTTATATATATATATATATATATATATATATATATAATGTAAAAAATATGTATACTGTTTATATTGAGAGCTTGTGAATTTGTAATTCTGTTCACTACTAGTTTATATCCGTGTCTTAAACTACAAAACGCGTTTCCTTCATTGCATAGAATTTTTTTTCTTTCTGACAGTTAAATGTCTCTGTTACTGAAAATTTGTTGATAGATTATTCCCCTTGGACTACACTGAACGGATGACATATACCGAGTGGCTTTTATTTGACTAGCGGTTTTCAGACAATTTATTTTTTAAAGGAAATTATTTTTTTTTTCTATGAATATTGCAAACTTTCATGAGAAATCATCTCGGAAGCAGACATCTATCCAAATACAAACATCCCCAGTCGCTTATCTACAGACGTAGACTCATTTACCCGAGCGGGTTTTGGGGAAACATTCATATATATATCAAGAAGAGTACTTATGAAATTGTATACTTGTGAGGTGTTTGGTCAGAAGGACACCTCACAAGTAATATTTTTATATTTTGTCATACAATCCCTTCACACACACACACACACAGACACACACACATATATATATATATATATATATATATATATATATATATATATATATATATATCTGTGTGTGTGTGTGTGTTTGTAATATTATTATTGTTATTATTAATATAATAATAATTATTATTATGTTAATAACTATAATTGGTTAGTGAAAAAAAGGATGAAACAATTTCCAAATTACAAGAGCTATCTGGAAAAAAATCTGAAAAATATTGTAAAAAATAAATAGTAATTAATTTTCATCTAAATGGATATTCAAGGTAAGGTTATAATGAACACCCATTTAGGTGTAACCTAGGTAGTTACTACCTGTCTCACTAGGAGTTATATATATATATATATATATATATATATATATATATATATATATATATATATAATTTAAATGCTATATATTATATCACCTTGAATCATGTTATTATAGTATATTCTTGTTTCGTCGTGGTGTTTTGTCTTATCTGACACTCTCTCTCACGCACCCCCTCTCTCTCTCTCTCTCTATATATATATATATATATATATATATATATATATATATGTATATCCAGGGAAGAATGAGCAGCTCTAAAAGAACCTTCCCAAAGGTAGCCCACTGGCATAAAGTGTCCAATTAATTCACACAATGTTGGCAACACTGATCTGCGCAATCCCTGAAATTTTCGGCCTGATCTGCGCAATGTAAACAAACTGGCGCCATATCAGTTTGCTTACATTGCGCAGATCAGGTCGAAAGGTTCAGTGATTGCGCAGTTCAGTGTTGCCAACATTGTGTGAAATTTTGTGTGAATTGATTGGACGGTTCTTGAAATATTAGAAAAAAGTTATATCGATAATAATTTGGCACGCAGTATATATATATATATATATATATATATATATATATATATATATATATATTACAAAAACTAAAAGTATCTCAAATGTGAGGTAATTTTTGTTTTGGTCTCTTTGTGGATCAGTTTTAATATTTGATATAGCTAGGATCTACCTGAATTATATACCAACGGATCAATTACCTGTAGTATATTATATATATATATATATATATATATATATATATATATATATATATATATAAAAAGTGTACATAGAAGTCAACACTTAGAGGCGACAGTCTGTTTCATGCTATATGCAATCGTCAGGCCGCATATGCTGTTATTTTTCTCGGCTCTTTATATATATACGGGTTAGGTTTGCATTGTGGGTATTCTATTATGGCGGTTATTTTTACCGGAAGTCGCTTTGTTTATTTATTTGGGTCAAATTATATTGCTCGTTTTTATTTTTTGTTTCTTATTTTATTTATTTATTTATTTATTTATTAACGTAGTAAAAATTTGTTTATATCACGTATTTAACAGTTTTGTTTTGGTTTGAGAATTTAATTAAAGATATTTGTTCAATTTTGGGGTTGGTTGTTGTAGTTCATTCTAACTATTATTTTTTGGCCGGAACAGTTTTTAATTTGGGATTGGTTTGTCTATTTATTTACTTGGATGAATTTAGGTCAATTTTTTTGTATATTTTCTCTTTTCGGTTTTTAAACAACATAACTTTAAAGGACCACAAACCGGATTTTGAGGCTAATCCCACTACAAGGATAATAAATCCTACAAGACCGGATGTAAGTAAAATTATTCAAAAAGATCCTTGAAAGCGTAAATATACAAATTATAGAAAAAATAAGCCTAAAACTTTGGATTAAATCCAAGAAGGAGATAAACTGGTTTACTAACATGAAAGGAAAAAGCAATAGTACACTAATGCTGTTTGATATTGATAATTATTACCAATCAATATCTAAAGAACTATTTATCAATGCGTTGGACTTTGCTACCCACTATACAGATATTACAGATGAAGAAAAGAACATTTTTCTGTATGCGAAAAAATCGGTATTAATACATAAAGGTGAGCAATGGATTAAGAATTCTTATGACCACTTTGACATCTCAATGGGATCACTAGACTCAGCTGAGTCTTCTGATCTCATTGGTCTGTTTATATTATACAACCTTACAGCTCACTATGATATTAATATAAATGACATTGGTTTGTACAGAGACGATGGACTTATGGTTATTAGAAACTCAACTAACTTCAAAAAGATAGAATTAGAAAGGTATTATATAAAGTATTTAAAAGCATGGGCTTACAAATTACGGTTGGTACAAAATTTTAAAAAAAGTAGACTTCCTAGATATAACATTAGATCTAAATAAAAATACATACACACCTTATAAAAAACCCAACACCAATCCTTTATATATACACCTTAAATCAAATCACCCTCATGTAACGTTATCTATCAGTAAACTAATTAGTAAAAATTCAGTAAATGACAAGATTTTCGATGAGCATATCAATTCCTATAATAAGGCTCTAAAAGAGAGTGGCTACAAAAACCCAAAACCAACTTTTATAAAAAATGAAAATGGAAAGCATAGAAAAGAACAGATGTAGAAAAATTATTTGGCATACTCCCACATACAACCAAATGGTAAAGAACAAATTAGGACATAAATTCCTCGCATTAATAGACAAGCATTTTCCTAGTGAAATTAAACTAAGTACTATTTTCAATAAAAACACACTAAACTTGAGTTACAGCTGTACAGAAAACTTAGAAAAAATTATTAAGAACCATAATGCTAATATCTTAAATAAACACTTATACCAAAACCAAAAAAATTTAGACAATGGAAAAATAAAGATAAAAAATGATGAAAATAAACAAAAACTATGTAACTGTAGAAACCCTCATAATTGCCCTCTACAAAATAAATGTCGCACTGAATCATTAGTATACCAAGGAAATATCTCTTCGATTGAAAGTCCTGAAAACAAAAAAATATATATAAGATTCAACCAACATCATTGTTCATTTAGGATAAATAAATATAAAAATCAAACATCTCTCGCATAATACTTCTGGCATCTAAAAGAATCAAATAAATCACCTACAGTAAAATGGAAGTTAATAAGAAAAGCTAGAATATGTAGGTCATTAAACGACCCATGTTCTTTGTGCATACATGAGAAACTATATAGTACTAAGTTTATAAAAATTAAAAATTTACTGAATCAGAGAAATGAAATAGCTATTTTATGCCGTCATTGTCAAAAATGTTCCTTAAATAATATTCAAAAATTTAAAAATAAAAATGAATTTAAAAAGGTGCCATCAGGTAATATACATACTTATATTTAACATGGAAAAATAATTATATATACTGTAAGTAATTTACTTGTTTTTTCTTTATGGAAAAAAAAGTCTTTTAAAATAATAGTGAAAATATTTTAAAGTTTTATTTAAAATTGTAGTTAAAACAAATTCTAACCTAAACATCTTTTAAAATTGTAGTTAAAGAAAATGTATTCTAACCTAAACACCTCTGCAAAAGTACTACCGGCATTTAAATTAATCCAATAAAACACCTACTGAAAAATGAAATTATGCCGAAAAGCTAGATGATGTAGGCCATTGAATGACCCATGTCCTTTGTACACACATATGAAACTATATATTACTAAGTTTATATATATATATATATATATATATATATATATATATATATATATATATAAAAAGAATAAATAAATAAATAAAGTTTACTAAATCAGCGAAATGAATTAGCTATTTTTGAAGTAAGTGCCATAAATATTACTTAAATAATATTTAAATATAAAAGTTTAAAAATCGTAATATACATATACTTAATGTGGAAAAATAATTTTACTTACTATAAGTAATTCTAATACATTTCCTTCTATTATAAAGTAATAGAGTCTATTAAAATTAACAATGAAAATATTTTAAAGTTGTAATTAAAATTGTAGTTAAATAAAATGAATTCTAACATAAACTTCTTTTAATTAGTACTACACGCACTTAAAAGAATCTAATAAAACACCTACAGTAAAATAAAATTAATATGAAATGCCAGAAGATGTAAGCTTTTGAATGACCCATGTCCTTTGTACTTACATGAGAAACAATATATTACTAGGTTTATATAAAAAAAAAAAAGTTTACTAAATCAGTGAAATTAAGTAACTATTTTTGCCGTCATTGTCATAAATTTTACTTAAATAATATTTAAATACCAAAAAAAAAATGTAACCTAATATACATACTTATACTTGATGTAAAAATAATTCTACATACTATAAGGGATTCTAATACATTTAATTGTTCTTAAAAAATATAGTATAATAAAAATTAAAAAAGAAAATATTTCAAATCGTAGTTAAATAAAACGTATTCTAACTTAAACACCCCCAAAAATCTTTGAATATACAAATAGAAAAAAATGCCGTAAGAATTTTTGCCGTTAACAATAAATTAAAAAAAAAATCCAGACGACATGCATTCAACGGATGTTAGATTTCATTGAAAAATAGATTCCTACCCACCTAC